ATGCAGAGTTCGAACTCACAAGCCATGAGATCATGACCTGAGCCAAAGTCAGATGCTTAACTGAGTTACCCAAGCAGGGGACACTGTGAAATGTAAATGCCACACATGTAAAGTACTTAGAAGGGATCATGGAAACAGCTCATATGACACTATGGCTCTTCATTGCTCCAACTCATCTATCCAGTTCTTTAAATTCCTTATTTTCTTTGGTCTCCAACTTTTAACACTGTTTCTTCTTCTCCCATATGTTCAGCAATCTGATTGGGCTCCCTTCTCTATTATCAGGGACGTCTCAAGAAAGGTTGATCCTCTCAAAGGACTCAAGCCTGAAAAGAGTATAATAAAGGAACTACTTACAAGATATGGACTGAGTTAAGAAACCAAAGATGGTGGAGCACCAATGAATGGTAAATCATGATCAACTTTAGGTTTAAAATGCAGGAAGGACAGAGGTGTCACTGGAGCTAGGTGGGAGCTAGAGATGTGGTCTGAGAGGAAAGCAGCCTCCCTAGAACAGCAGTAGGAGAAGGAGGGAGCAGTGTGTGCACAAGTGAATAATCCACCCTCTTTCTCCTCCTTCCCTCTAGTCTTTTGCCAGTGACTCCCATTGGCTGAACCCAAATGGAAGCAAAATAATAACAGAGCCAGGTGATGGATGTAGTCAACAGACGTCAGTTTTACGGGGGCAAAAGCAGGGCAGAGGAGGAGAGAGAACAGATGGTAGAGTTGGGCTGAGGCAAAATGTGCTGTTGTTTTTTGTATACGTGGGAGAAGCATGGGAAGGAACGGAAACATCTCAATGAAGAATCTCATTGCCCCCATGACAGGTGAATGAAATGAGACTCAGAAGTAGTGAATTGCCAAAGTTTCCACCTAGAAAAAGGAACCAGATTCAGATCCTTAAATGGTGCGTCAGGCCTATGCTATTTCCCAATATGCTGCGTGGGTCTACTCAGAGTGATGGCTGAAATTATCTTGGTCTCACTAAATAATTTCTGCCCTGAGATAAACCAAGGGTAGGGAATCATATCTTGTTTTCTGCCCCTACTTTAGTCCCCTATAAATACATTCATTGTGGTTTTCTGATCATTTCTCAGAGAGGGTTTCTTAAAAGACTGACTTTGAAAGATGACAATAACCAAACTGGATCCCCTCCTTTTTATAGAGAGGGAAGATTATATCTAAGATATGAAGGCATCTGAAAGAGGAGGGGGAGGAAGGAAAGAAAGAGGGAGGGAGGAAAGATGGAAGGAGAGAGAGAGAGGAGGAGAGGGGAAGGTAAGGCAACAGAGAATGGGAGAGGTAGGGATAGAAGTTTTGTAAAATCAGTTTGAGGAGCATAATTTGTAACAGCTGAAAACTGGAGACTAACCAACTGCATATTAACAACCAGAGAATAAAAAAACAAATTGTGAAATGTCTGTGTAATAGAATATTATACAGGAAGGGAACTGAAACTGCACACAACAAAACGAATGAAACTCCTAGATCTAGTATTAAGAGGAAGAAGTCATATTCCATTCATCCAAGATCTCAAATGCAGGTAAAATAATCTATGGTGTTAGAAAATAGAATTGTGGTTATTTAGGGTCTGAGAAATGACTGGAAAAGGGGTTTCTGGGTTATTAATAATTTTTTGTTTTTGTATATTTGTTTTTGTTTGTTTAATCTGGGGGTGGTTGTACAGGTGTGTTCATTTTGTGAAAATTTGTTTAGCTTCTTTCCCCTTATGATTTTTGCTCTTTTCTGTATGCACAGACATGCAGTTGAGGTAACTAGCTGTGTTAGTCAGTTTGCTGCAGTAAAAATCAACCTCCCCAAGTCTCTGTGGCTTACAATTATCTCTCTGTGTTAGGCAGAATTCTACAAAGGCCTCCATGCTCTCTATCCTTTGGTGTTACTCCTGTGATTCTATTATGTTACATGGCAAAGGGATTTTGCAAATGTAATTAAGTTGATTAATCAGTTGACTTTAAGAGAAGATTATCTGGGTGAACCTAACCTAATCACATGCACCCTTTAAAAGCTAAGAGTTCTTTCCAGCTGCTGGTCAGAGATCTGCCAGGGAAGGGAGATTCAATGTGTCACCGCTGGCTTGAATATGGAAGAGCCACACTCAAGAGACCTAGGAACTGAAAGCAACCCTTCACTGATAGCCAGCAAGAAAATAACTCTTCAGTCCTACAACCACAAGAACATAAATTCTGCAAATGATGAGTGGACTCAGAAGAGAACTCCAAATGCCAAATGAGAATGGCAGCTGACACTCTGATATCAGTCCAGTGAGACCCTGAGCAGGGTATCTAATAGGGCCACACCCATATATCTGACCTACAGAAATTATGAGATAAATATATTTGTAGTTTGAAGCTGCTAAGTTTATGGTAGTTTATAATTCAGCAATAGAAAATTAATGCACACTTGCTCACAGTTTGGCAGCTTTGTGTTTGAAGCTGTTGAGATTCTGTACAGCTTTGCTCCACATGTCTTCACATTCTGACCCATATTGAAGGAGCTTCCCTATTTGGGACACTCTAGGACAAAGGGTAAAGAGCAAATGAGCTGACAAAACACCATGATGGCTCACATCTGTTCACACTTCAGTGGCCAAACCAGGTCACACAGCCATGCCTAAAGGCAATGGGGAAGGGTGTGTCATCTTATAGAAATGGAGAGATTGAGTAATCTTGAAAAATAATACAATCCACCACCATGGAACATTATAACTCTGGCCTAATAAGAAATAGCAAAGTTTTGGTGGTCAGGAAGACCTGAGTAGGAATTTTGGTAATCACCTTACTGGCTGTGTGAAATTAGGACATTTCCTAATTTCTCTGAGCTTCAGTCTTTTAAATGGTGTGATTCTCTTACAGAATTGGTATTAATGTTAAATATACCAGTATAATGTCTAAGAGATATTCTAATATATGTTGATAAATATTAACCTCAGACTCTTTTCTCAAGGACTAACAGAATGTAATTCTTCCAAAGGGAAAAGTCAGGGAATGGAAGCCACATCTAAACATACTCCCTTTTCCTCATTTTCCTAATATAACTAATGCAGAACCCCAAATGCATAATTCCTTTATGTGCTGTTATCTCTTTGAACACTGTAGTAATAAATAATTTATAGTAAAGGGGATATGATATTACTCTTCTGAATGGGATTATTAAATACAATCAATATCAGATGTGGAATTACTTTGTAATTACATTTTTAAATTGATGATTCACTTGAATATCTATTTTTGGTTTGTGAAAATGTTATCATAAAGTCATAATGATTGCAGCTGAAAATCTGGGCAAGTCAAACAATCAATAAATACTTTGTCCTCAGACTATTTTATTTGGGCCTTCTTTTACCTGCCCTGATGGTTTTAAAGACTATTTCAGATTTCTAGTTCATAAATATTTGTGACTTTAAAAAAATGTTTATTTTTGAAAGAGAGACAAAGCGTGAACAGGGGAGGAACAGACAGAGAGGGAGACACAGAATCCGAAGGAAGGTCCAGGCCCTGAGCTGTCAGCACAGAATCCAACTGGGGGCATGAACCCATGAACAGAGAGACCAACGCGGGGCTTGAACCCATGAACAGTGAGATCATGACCTGAGCCGAGATTGGACACCCAACCAACTGAGCCACCCAGATGCCCCAATATTTGTCACTTTTAAAGTAACTATTATTAGTTGTTATTGTTCAAGCCTCAATCCACAATTTAGGGTTTTAATTTTTTTCTTATTACACAAAAAAATAACCACTTCTCTCTCGATCTCTGTTTCTCTGTCTCTGTCTCTCTTTCCTTCTCTCTCTCTCTCTCTCTCACACACACACACACACACACACACATATCATGAAGTCAGTACATTTTCATCAGAAAAAGGAATACAAGTAAATCACTCCAAAAAACCCACTAAAACTTATGAGCTGAAGATAGTGGCAGTCAATATTTTGGTGTGTAATCTTCCATTTTTTTTCCAGAATATTTAGATAGTTACATAGATAGATAACATATGTTGGCATTTCTATATATTTACATTTATTTCTTTCACAAAAATGGGATGACATACACTATTTTATAACCTGTTTTTTCATATAGTTATATGCATATATTCCACTGTCTTAATGATTTCATTTAATAATTCTATGTATATTTTTCAGTCAGTACTTTATTATTGGATATTTAGGTTATTTGTCAATTTACTATATTCCAGCCTCTTAAACAGAACTTCCACTAGCCCATACATATGAATTAGAGGAAGCCAGTGTGTAGGGCTTGGTGGCCAAGGCACTAGCTGGATTTTGGCACTATTCACCCCAACTTCCCCCTTTGATCAGATCCCAAAGACTGTAGCTCTGCTCTTAAATATCAAAATATATACTAGAAATGTTAAAGAACAATAAGCATAGAATCTCTCTCAGAATGAATGAGCCTCTGTTGAAATCTCCAGCCATTTATATTATCAAGAGTTGCCAGATGATATACAAAAGTGTCTGCATCTTGGTTTATAAATTGCCCTTTCCACAATTTGTCTTTATTGACTGGTTAATTCTTTGTGAAAGGGCATCACAACTGATTAAAGTGCTATAGATTTTACAGTTCAGAGGCACATGGTGTACTGTTTGCCGTGTCATCACAAAGGTGCCCCTGTGATTAAAGCACTTGGGTACTGTTTTTTCTCCCACAACAAAATTTTAAAAAGGCAGCCTTGTGTTCTGACTCTTCTTTTGCTTCAGACCAAGAAAATGATTGCTTATAAAGTCCCCAAAAGAACGGCTAACAATGACTTTTGAAAGCTCTGAATGAAGCTATTGTTATAGAAATATGACTGCTTTTATGTGGAAAACAATTACATTATCTATCTATCTATCTATCTATCTATCTATCTATCTATCTATTTATCACATATAAGGAATTCAATGAATGTTTCCATTGGCTTCTGTTAAGAAGTCCTTTGGGGAGACTGGAAGGCCAATTACTAGGAGCTGTTGGACACTGACCTCTAACTTGAGCCCCTGGTCCTAGCCTTCTGTTGTCTCTCTCTGGGCTCCAACTGCTGTTCGTCAGATGAATATTCTATTGTTGGCCTTTTCAGAGAGGAACTGTTAAAGGAAAAAGGAAGATTATTTGCAAGTGATTATGAAAATGTTCCAACAAAAAATGAAATGAAGTAATTAGCTTCCTTTTGCAGCCACTGACCAATCATGGGTAAAGCCACCCTCCTCTTTACCCCAGGTGGGGATGGGAGGTGGCAGTACCTGTAAATTTATGCTAAGATATTTCTCATCTTATTAACCTTTTAAAATGGAGGCCACTTCCTGAATGGGAAAACTATATAAAATAACAAGCTATTTAGTTCCTAAGAGAACTAAAAAATTTTAACATTTATATGATATACCCCTTTAAAAGTAAGAAGCTGAGAGATCTGTGGGATTGTGTTAGCAGACTGTTCATTTTTGCTGTATGTAAAATGGCCCAGAATAAAGTGCAAGAGACACCATATCACCTCCCTATTCAGGTGAGCCTAAGTAAGGTCTGACAGGAATCTCAAAGCTATGAGAAAAAGCTTCTTGAACTTGATCTGCGCTGTATTATTTTGGAAAATGAGGGAAAATCATGGGTTGTCTTTCTCATAGATAATTTGACATTGTGGACTACTGGAAAATATGAATGGGAAAATGGACAACTGGAAAATGTATATGGCAGGAGGATAAAAAAGGAATATCTAGACCTGACCCTAGTTAGCTACAAGTTAGCAGATAGCTTTGTCCAAGACATGGATAATGACATGGCTGCTATATGGAATGAGGTTTCTTCATTTTCACCTTGAGGAGAGACTTGAAGTAAGGAAGTGGGTGGGTTTGCTGGAGGCCTGGAAGTGCTTCTGTGAAAATGGATACCACCAGTGATGGAAAATAGTGGTTAACTTCCAGGGCTACCATAAGAACCAACCAAAGGGTTTATTTAAAGAATGGAAGTAGTTAGATGTAGAGGACGAGAGTTAGGAAGAATGAGAAGGCAAAAGAAAAAGCAGAAAAGATAAAAGCTTTACACTTTGAGATCTTTCTTAAAGCCCCTGGCTTCTTACCTTTCTACTTTTCTGTCTCAGGTCTAACACTCTAAATAACACTACCCCTAGGAAGCCTTCTGTTCCCAGCCTGAGTGAGATGTCCTCATCTGGGTCCTTGGACTCTCAGTGTCCACCCGTCACCACAAAGGTCTGCAGTGGCCTACATTTGCTTGTCTGTCTATATGGTAGACACTGAGCCTCATTAATTCAGTACAACATACCCTCTTTCCTCTCTACTGTGGTCTTAGCACCTAGAGCAATGCTTGGTACATAGTCAATGTTCAAAAGTATGTTGAATGAATAAATTGCAGGGGAGGGGGTAGAGAAGTCATGGCAGAAAGAAGAGTCTGATCAGACAGGAGCAGATTCCTGGGATGGCCAAGGTCCACAGGTAGAGAATTGGTACAGTTTGGAGATTTAAAGAAGCACCACAGAGTGTGAGACAGTGGCAAAGATGGGACCTGAGGGGCAAATGAGGTTGATCATAAAGAGCTCTCAAGTCATGTGAAAGAGATTAGAATTAATGCTGAGGGTAGCATGGAGACATTCACAGGAAAGTTGGGAAGTGATGTTATTCAATTCTTCAATTTGTGTGTTTGGAAAGAGGAAGTGTGCTGCAGCCTGGAGGCAGGGATCCCATTTAGAAGACAGTTGCAGACCTATGGGAGATGTCACCATGTGTTGACCCGTAGAGTGTGGAAGGAATGGAGAAATGGATTGATTTAAGAAATATTTCAAAGGTAGAGTTGACAGAGTTTTGATATAGATAGAAAATAAGTATTAAAAAAGGAGATGTTAAGATTGATAGTTATATTTTAAGATTGATGGCTTGAGTAAATAGATACTGACCGGTGCAAGTAGGAAGAGTATTTTTGCACTTTTGTAAAATCACTTTCAGGCAGGTTAAAGTCAATGTGCCTGTGAACATCTGGAGGCAGTTAAATATGCACATCTTGAGAGCTCAGATTAATAATGGAGATGGAGACACAGATTTTGTGATCATGGGCAGAGGTGGTAATTAAAGCCAGGTAAATTGATGAGGTTGCTTAGAGGAGTGTTTAAAGGGAGGAGAGAAGAAGACTCAGGACTCTCAAGAACAGATACCTTTTTTTTTTTTTTTAAAGGACAGAAGAAAGGAACCTGAAAAGAATAGTACAACCAAGCAGACTGAGAGATGGAGATGCCACAGAAGCAGAGGAGAGAATTCATTTCAAATAGAAATAGTGGTCTAAACACCAAAGTCTAGAAGAAGTTAGGTTGACAGCTGAGACAGTGTCCATTAAATCCATTACCTTGATAAGAATGGCTTCAGTAAAAGTCTGGGGACAGAAGCCATATTACACTGGGTTGAGAAGTCAACAGGAGACAAGAGTGTGACTACAGTGAGGATGGACAAATATTTCAAGAAGTTTGATTGTAATGGGGCAAGTACTCACAATTTTCAAAGCTCTTAAAAATTCAGTCCTCATGGAAAGAAATAACTGGCAACTAGCTGTGGCCTAAGGAAGCTCAAAGAGCAAAAGAGACCCCCAGGAGCTGTGGATAATTCCAAAACCTTGGAGGTGGTAGTCTCACTCACAGAAGACAGAAGAAAGTGAATTTGATGGGAAAGTTCCATTTTAAAGTCTGATATGGTGTTTTGCCAAGTGAAAATACACAAAAGGAGTGGAATTGACAAAGCGCTCTGGCTGACATGAACATCTCAGGACTTCTATGCAGTAGTGGCAGCTAAGACTGTCCACAGGTATAAGACTCCCAGAGGAACAATGTGAACAAGAAGAACAGACAAGGACAGTCTGACACAATAGTCCACTGATATTTGTCACCTCGGACCCAGGTGCTTTTCCTAACTGGACAACTGGATGAGGGCAGTCAAGTTGTCATGTTTATGCAGATTTTTAAACCTTTCCTAAATGATTATGAGTATAGACAAATTTAAAGTTTTGATTATCAAAGACAAGTTAACACCTCCACCTCCAGGCTATGTACTGTATAATACTCTTGACTTTACAACCTAAAATTCATTCAGGAAAATTTATTTAGATACCTTTGGCATTTTCTGTATTACATAATTGCTAAGAACAATGTATTTCCCAACATAAACTACATTTTCAATAATAAGTAAAATTATGAGAGATACAAATATACAGTTCAGGATCTCTGTGAATGAATGCTGAATGGTGTCATATGCTTGAGCAACAGCCAGAACGTGGGTGACTGATGCTTAGAAGACATGGAGCACTTTGTTAGGAAGTGGAACTAAAAAGGTGGGTGGAAGTCAGATCATTTCAAGTCTTCAATATTTTGCTAAGTTTCATTCTGCAGACAAGCGAGAAATCACTGAGTTATTGTGGGCAGGGGAGGGAGGCTTTGATCTGAGTTTTAAGAAGGTAATTCTGGTAATTAGTAGGCTCCTAAGACATATTTGCAGATGAGAAATGATGAAATGATGACTGAAGCCTATGCGGTCAGAGAAAAGGTACCATTACTGTTTGGAAGATAATGGGAGATAACATGGAAGTCCTCTCATTCAGTGAAATTAGGGACCGAATTTGATCACTTATTTGCAAAGCTTATCAAATCAGAGAATAATAAACAAAAGATATTTACCTTGGGTATTATATTGTAACTTAAGATGCATATGAGTACATTCATCTAGCGATGCCAAGGCCCCTTCTTTGAGTACAGGTCTGACAAATGGAGTATTGTATCAGTTTTGCTGCATGAACCACACCCATGTTTCTGCTTCTTTAAATTGCAGCAAAAGGCATTTGGAGTGCAGAATCTTAAAGAAGTTTTTACGAGAGTTTCCTCCAAACATTTTGGGCTCCCCTCTCCATACTTATTTGGATTATAAGACTCTCATCAAGTCTTTCCAAAGCTTTCAACTCAATTTTCATAGAACAGTTCTCTTTCACACTCCTATCTCATTACTTTACCTAGTATTTTATTAAATATTGTAACATAATAAAAAGTAAAATGGCATTGACCCAGCTTGAGAACAAAATACAACTGTTTCTTGGTAAATGTGCAACTGAATTGAGGAGCAGGAAAGTTCAACATTCCAGGCAACTTCTTACTAGTCTCCAGTGATGAGTATGTGTAAGAGAATTGAAGAGTGTCATTATGACATGATATGGCTAGCAGAGCTTCTACTGTGATGATCTGAGCTGGGGCTACAGCAATGGAAAATGAGAGGAGAACAAATTGAAAAGGCATCAAGACACTAGCTTTGGAAATAAACAGGCTTGAGTTCAAATTCTGACTTCATCATTGAGTAAGCATCCAAGTTTCTGTTTTCTTACATGTAAAATCAAATTAAGCAGAATATATTGAAAATCCACCTAATGCACTTAGCAATGTGCCTGACAAAAGTAAATAATATGGTATTAAGTCAATAGAATTTGATGTTGAATTAAGGAAAGTAAAGAGTCAAAGATGACTCCCTATTGTCTACCTTGGCTGAGTAAAAGATAATAATACCACTAACTGAAACACAAGAGGAGAAATAGGTTTGGTAGATAATGTAATAATGTTAGTTTTGGATGTATTGAGTTTCCTGGTATGATATCCATATTGAGGTGACTAGGAGGCACCTGGAGATATTATTCTGGCTTTCAGTGAGAGGTTTTGGTTAGTGATATTAACTTGAAGTCATAAATACAGAATAACAAATGAAGCTATGAAATGGATAGGTTTGGTCACAAAGGGAGTGAGGACATGGTAGGTTGGTTGGGGAAAATACACAATCAGACATGAGGCAAAATCCAAGATACGAGAGAAACCAGCTGGGGTAGTGAGGCAATAGTGGCATGTCCACCTGTGTCCAAGAAACACAGGCATGGTTTCAATGATTAGATGAGTTCTAGATGAGGCCTCCAGCTTATTCGGCCCCTAGTCTAGTTCCGTATCCAGTCTCCCTTCACATCCACTTTCTGCTCAGATACTAAGCTGATCTTTTTTTTTTTTTTCTTTATGCTTGTTTGGTTATTTACTTATTTAGAGAGAGAGTGAATGGGAAAGGGCACAGAGAGAGGGAAAGAGAGAGTCCCAAGCAGGCTCCAAGCTGTCAGCACAGAGCCTAACAAAACATGAGATCATGACCTGAGCAGAAATGAAGAGTCAGATGCTTAACCACTGACCCACCAAGGCACCCCAAGGCTGGTCTTTAAACCATCAAATCCATCACATTACACTCATGTTGAAAAGCAAAAAAAAAAAAAAAAAAAAAAGAAAGAAAGAAATAGTGGAATGTAGAAAAAATATTGAGATTGCTTTCTAAACTTGACACAAAGAGCAGGGAAGAAAAAAGGATGACCTCTATTTGGAAGGATTATGATTCAAGTGGAATTATCAGAGGAAAGCCAAATTTCAGTCAGTTGTATCTTTATTTTCTCAATAAAAATTTAATTAGAAAATATGAGAGGAGGAGCCAAGATGGCAGAAGAGCATGGAAGTCTCTTTTTTGTCTTGTGTACATGAAATACAGACAGATCAACACTAAACCATCCTGCACACCTAGAAACTGATTTGAGGAATAACAATAATCTGCACAACCTGAACTGCAGAACTCAGCAGGTATGCTGCATGGAGAGGTGAACTGGGGGAGAGAGGAGATGCGGAGGACAGGCAGCTGTTTTTGCTTGCAGAGAGGAAGGGGACGGGGTGGGGAGGTGGAAGTGGAGAGTACAAGAAAAGCACCCCCCGAAGAAGCAGCTGGAGAGAAGNGGGGGGGGGGGGGGGGGGGGGGGGGGGGGGGGGGGGGGGAGGTGGAAACAGCCGCAGCGACTGATCGAAGAAGGGAGAAAGGAAAGAGGGTTTAAATTCCATTTAGACTCTACGAACAGGGGGAACACAGAGTCTGAAACTCCACAGCTCAAAATACCTGGTGCGAAAGGCGAAGTCCCAGGAGAAGCGTGGGTCCGGGAGCTCCTCGGGCTACACGAGATTTTCCACAATCCCGGAAATGCTGCTGCTGAGTGATCGGTGAAATTTTTCTGGGTCAGGCTGACACCCAGCCGCGAGTATCTGGACATAGGCAGCAGCAAGGTTTTGCTAGCATTCCTGGGTGCAGCCGGCACCCAGCCACTGCTTGGTGAGACCCGCCCCCAGAGAGTCTGCGGGGAACAAAGCCTCAGTCCCTCCAAAGTGAGCAGTCAAGAAATACAGCCATATCTCAGATAAAACTCAGGACGGAGGTGCTGCCTGGCAACCTGACGGCTGGTTACGGACAGTGCAAAAGTGGGGAGTGGACTGAAACTGAAGACAAAGGAGGGTGCGGGATTGCTGATAGGGGAAAGCACAGAGGTCGGATTCTAGCCTGGATATCTGAGTGACGCCATTTTCACCCCAACCGCGCGTGCGCATACACACCTCGTGCGCCACAACAATCCACCCTAGTAAGCTAAGCAGCGCCATCTAGTGGAGAACGGAGCCATTACGCTAAGCCCCGCCCATCTGGGTCAACTGCGCTTTTCAGGAACAGCACAAATCTCTTCTCCTGGTTAGTTTAAGGACCCTGAAGGGCTTCCTAGTTTGACTTCAGGGGAAAATGATGTAATAACAATCATATCTTGATCTGTTTGCTGGCCCATCTATTCAATTTTATTTTTTATTCTTTTTTGTTTCTTGTCTTTTACTTGAATACAGAAAGATAATTAAAAATTGTGATTTTAAAGTTTTTATTAAACATATTTTCCTTTTATTTTTTGACTAAACTTTTTACTTTTTTTTGCAAATTTTCAAATTCTATTGTACTTCCATAATTTCAAGTTATTCTATTTCATCATATTATTTTTTCAAATTTTCAAAATTTTTGTCTGTTTGTTTTTGTTTTTGTTTTGTTTCTCTTTTTCCTTTTTTCCTTTTTTCTCTAACCAGTCAAGCTCCTTTCAATAACCAGACCAAAACACACTTAGGACCTACCATCACGTATTTGATTTTGTATGTTTGTGTGTTCTTTGTAATTATTTAATTTTATTTTTTTCCCTTTTTTCTCTAATCAGTCAAGCTCCGTTCAACAACCAGACCAAAACACACCTAGGATCTAGCATCACTTATTTGATTTTGTGTGTGTGTTGTTTTCAATTTTAATTTTCCCTTTTATCTCTAATCAAACAAGCTCCTTTCAATAACCAGACCAAAACACGCTTAGGATCTAGTATCATTTATTTGATTTTTTTTGTGTGTGTGAGTGTGTGGTTTTTAATTTTAATTGTTTTCCTTTTTTCTCTAACTAATCAGCTCCTTTCAATAACCAGACCAAAACACACCTAGGATCTAGCATTTCTTATGTGATTTTGTGTGTGTGTGTGTATGTGTGTTGTTTTTAAATTTTTAATGTTCATGTTAGTAAAGGGATGGAGAACCCGCCTTTCATGCTGATGGCCACCAAAAGAAAGCTGGAGTAGCCATACTTACATCAGACAATCTAGACTTTTAAATAAAAACTGTAATAAGAGATGAATAAAGGAATTATGTCATAATTAAGGGGTCTATTCACCAAGAAGACATTAAACATTTATGCTCCAAATGTGGAGCACCCAAGTATATGAATCAGTTTATCACAAATATAAAGAAACTCATTGATAATAATACCATAACAGTAGGGGAATTCAACACCCCCTTACAGCAATGGACAGATCATCTAAACAGAAAATCAATAAGGAAACCATGGCTCTGAGTGACACACTGGGCAGATGGACTTAACAGATATATTCAAAACACTTCATCCTAAAACAGCAGAGTATACATTCTTCTCCAGTGCACATGGGGACATTTTCCAGAATAGATCACATACTGGGACACAAATCAGTCCTCAACAAGTACAAAAAGATCGAGATCATATTGTGCATATTTTCAGACCACAACACTATAAAACTCGAAATCAACACAAGAAAAAAATTTGGAAAGGTAACAAATACTTGGAGACTAAAGAACAAATGGGCTCACCAAAAAGTTAAGGAGGAAATTAAAAAGTACATGGAAGCCAATGAAAATGATAACACCACAACCCAAAACCTCTGGGATGCAGCAAAGACAGTCATAAGAGGGACATATATAGCAATCCAGGGCTTCCTAAAGAAGGAAGAAAGGCGTCAGATATACAACGTAACCTTACACCTCAACGAGCTGGAAATTAACAGCAAATAAAAGCCAAAAAACCAGAAGAAGACCGGAAATAATAAAGATTAGAGTAGAAACAATGCTATTGAAAACAAACAAACAAACAAACAAAAAAAACAACAAGCAGTAGAACAGATCAATGAAACCAGAAGCTGGTTATCTGAAAGAATTAACAAAATTAATAAACTACTAGCCATTTTGATCAAAAAGAAAAAAGAAAGGACTCAATAAAATAAAAAATGAAAGAGGAGAGATCATAACCAACACAGTGGAAATAAAAACAATAATAGAAGAATATTATGAGCAATTATATGCCCAAAAAATGGGCAATCTGGAAGAAATGGACAAATTCCTAGGCACATATAAACTACCAAAACTGAAACAGGGAGAAATAGAAAAGTTGAACAGACCCATAACCAACAAAAAAAAATTAAATTAGTAATCAAAAATGTGTCAAAAGACAAGAGTCTAGGGTCAGATGGCTTTCCAGGGGAACTCTACCAAACATTTAAGGAAGAGTTAACATCTATTCTCTTGAAGGTGTTCCAAAAAAATAGAAGTGGAAGGAAAACTTCCAAACACTTTCTATGAAACCTGCATTACCTAGATTCCAAAACTAGACAAAGATCCCAGTAAAAAAGAAAACCATAGACCAATCTCCCTGATGAACATGGATGCAAAAATCCTCAACAAGATATTAGCCAACCAGATCCAACAATACATCAAAAAAATAATTCACCACGAACAAGTGGGATTCAAATCTGGGATGCAGGGCTGATTCAATATCTGCAATACAATCAATGTGATTCATCACATCAAGAAAAGAAAGGAAAAGAACCACATGATCCTCTCAATAGACGCAGAGAAAGCATCTGACAACATTTAGCATTCTTTCTTGATAAAAACTCTTAAGAAAGTAGGGATAGAAGGATCATACCTCAAGATCCTAAAAGCCATATATAAAAGACCCAATGTTAATATCATCCTCAATGGGGAAAAAACTGAGAGCTTTCCCCATAAGGTCAGGAACAAGACACAGATGCCCACTCTCACCACTGTTATTCAACATAGTATTGGAGTCTTAGCTTCAGCAATCAGACAACATAAAAAAATAAAAGGCATCCAAATCAGCCAGGAGGAGGTCAAACTTTTACTCTTCACAGATGACATGATATTTTATATGGAAACCCCAAAAGATTTCATCAAAAATCTTCTAGAACTGGTCCAGGGATTCAGCAAAGTGGCAGGATATAAAATCAATGCACAGAAATCAGTTGCATTCCTATACACCAACAATGAAGCAACAGAAAGAGAAATCAAGGAATTGATCCCATTTACAATTGCACCAAAAACCATAAAATACCTAGGAATAAACATAACCAAAGAGGTGAAAAATCTATACACTAAAAACTATAGAAATCTTACAAAAGAAATTGAAGAAGACACACAAAAAAAGAAAAAACATTCCATGCTCCTGGATAGGAAGAACAAATATCATTAAAATGTCAATACTACCCAAAGCAATCTAAATATTCAGTGCAATCCCTATCAAAATAACACCAGCATTCTTTATAGAGCTAGAACAATCAAACCCAAAATCTGTATGGAACCAGAAAAGACCCCAAATGGCCAAAGCAATCTTGGAAAAAACAAAAAAACAAAACAACAAAAAACAAAGCAGAAGGCATCACAATCCCAGACTTTCAAGCTGTATTACAATGCTGTAATCATCAAGACAGTATGGTACTGGCACAAAAAGACACTCAGATCAATGGAACAGAAGAAAGGATCCAGAAATGGACTCACAAATGTATGGCCAACTCATCTTTGACAAAAGGAGAGAATATTCAATGGAATAAAGATAGTCTCTTCAGCAAATGGTGCTAGGAAACCTGGACAGTGACATGCAAAAAAAAAAAAACAAAAACAAAAAAACAAAACAACTGAACCTGGACCACTTTGTTAAACCATACCCAAAAATAAACTCAAAATGGATGAAAGACCTAAATATAAGGCAGGAAGCCATCAAAATCTTAGAGGAGAAAGCAGGCAAGAATCTCTTTGACCTTGGCCACAGCAACTTCTTACTCAGCACGTCTCCAGAGGCAAGGGAACAAGAGCAAAATGAACTATTGGGACCTCATCAAAATAAAAAGCTTCTGCATAGTGAAGGAAACAATAGGCAAAATTAAAAGTCAAGTGATGGAATGGGAGAAGATATTTGCTAACAACATATCAAAAAAAGGATTAGTATCAAAATCTGTAAAGAACTAATCAAACTCAACACCCAGAAAACAAACAATCCAGTGAAGAAATGGGCTAAAGACATGAACAGACACTTTCTCCAAAAAAGACATCCAAATGGCCAGCAGACACATGAAACGATGCTCAACATCACTCATCATCAGGGAAATACAAAACCACAATTAGATACCACCTCACACCCATCAGAAGGGCTAAAACCAACAAGTCAGGCAACAACAGATGCTGGTGAGGATGCGGAGAAAGAGGATTTCTTTTGAACTGCTAGTGGGAATGCATAGGGGCACATGTACCCCAATGTTCATAGCAGCACTCTCAACAATAGCCAAAACATGAAAAGAGCCTAAGTGTCCATCAACTGATGAATGGATCAAGAAGATGTGGATTATCTATACGATGGAATACTATATGGCAATGAGAAAGAATGAAATCTGGCCATGTGTAGCAACGTGGATGGACCTTGAGGGTGTTATGCTGAGCAAAATAAGTCAGGCAGAGAAGGACAGATACAGTATGTTTGCACGTATAGGAAGATTTGAAGGAATTTAACAGAGGACCATAGGGGAGAAGAAGGGGAAAAATAGTGGGGGAGAGAGAGGGAGGCAAACCATGAGAGACCCTTGAATGCTGAGAAACAAACTGAGGGCTGATGGGGATGGGAGTGAGGAGAAGGGGGGAGGGGGGCATGGAGGAGGGCACCTGTGGGGATGAGCGCTGGGTGTTATATGGAAACCAACTTGACAATAAACTATTTAAAAGAACTATTTAAAGAAAAACAGTATGGAGATTCCTCAAAAAATTAAAAATAGAACTACCCTACGACCCAGCAATTGCACTACTAGGTATTTATCCAAGGGATACAGGTGTGCTGTTTCAAAGGGACACATGCACCCCAATGTTTATAGCAGCACTGTCATCAACAGCCAAAGTATGGAAAGAG